TCATCACTATCGTATAGCGAAACAGAGTGAAGCGAAATTTATTGATTGTTGCCAAACTCATAAAGCATACAAGGTAAGTGAGAATGTGTAAGCACGATTGGGCCTATTTTTACGGACGACAAAATAAAGCGATCCTCTATGGTTAGCACACGGAATACACATTCCACATGTGTATACATACAGTTTGTAGAATTATGGCCTGATAATGGATAGCAAGAAGATCACCACTACTGTCGATTCGCTGCCATATCTTTCAATGTCTCCGACCAACCGGTTGCAAAGTCTTTCGAATCTCATCCTGGAAGGCTCGAGACACCTACTCGACCTAATGGCTTTGTGCATTTCTTCATGCCTCGTCTCCACGTCATCTGTTGACTTCCATTGGGCACTCCGCCAGCCCGAAAAAGCTACAGCGAATAAAGTGAGGTGCGGCAGATGACAACTGGGCATATGCAATGCGAATGTTCAAGATTCGACTTTCGGTTACTAATTCAGGACTGAATAGTTGAACGGATTGCCCGTAAGCCGAGTGAATACACTGTAACTATAGGACTACAATTCGAATGAGTTCTGTCTCACAAATTTATATTCATAAACTGCTCTCGAAAAAAACTAGCAAGAAGTATTCAAGAGACGGATTTCATGAGACGCGTATAAATTATTTGATTCATGTATTCGCCTGTTTAAACTTTGTAGGCGATTCGCCTTATCATCAGGAAAAGGGGTCTGAAAACACGTTCTGTTAAACAGGTGTGATTAAGACTGCATGTCTGTGTACCGCTTATGCATTCACCGGGTGAGTATTACAGGAAAGTCGTCTTATCGGTCGTTGATAGGCGCTCATTTCTATCGTATTGATCCTGTGCATGTCCATTTTCCGGATCCGATTGCACTGTGAGAACTGGTTTGCATCCGGTACACAATGCAGACCACGAGTGAGAAGTAAATTGAGTCCCAGAGGTTAAAATGCTTTGATGCTATTGGGCTATCAAACAGATATTTTCTATGGCGTGGAGAACATAGAAAAGACGTTCGCCTAATTACCAATTCATGTTTGTTCAAGTGTCGACTTCAGAGATTGCCCACCAATTCAATTTGGCCCGATAACAATGAGGCGAGACACAGATGACAATCTGTTAACTCCAATCAAAAGCCTCCCACCAAGTCAGATATTCCATGAAGTTTACTAGTTAATTTTCACTTTGCGTGTTGCAGTTTGGTTTCTGGATGCATATAATTTCACAATGAAAGAAACAAGACAGTGATTCTTTACCGCGCAGGAACATACGATGTACACATGGGTATTGATCGAACTCGTGTGACATAACACGCAATTTAGAAATAATATACATGCGATGGAAATGTGTATGATAACCGACACAGGAAGAAACGGCTGTCCAGTGCTCTTTGTCGGTTATCACAAACATTTCCATCACATGTAAATGCATTCAACTAGTGAGGGGAATTAACGATCACCGAAGGAGTGAAACCCACACCCAAAACTATCAGGAGTGCTTCGTGCCTCTTAACAATCGAATGGGATAATCCCAGCTTGCTACCGTAAAATTCAGAAATATATTTCAGTTTCCAATAGTACACCGGCATATTGATAGCAATGGATAAAGAGCGGCTATTCCGAACTTCATATCCTTCCTGAAATGTCCCCAATTCTTTTGTTTAACTGACTGATTTTCACAAACAAATACTGTGTAGCCCCTCGAAAGTTACGGCACAAAATTGGAAAATATTCGACGCATAGAAGCGAAGGAGCGATATTCTTTTTTATAAGGGACTGCTGTTTTATGACGATATTTATTCTGGTTAATCTACTCATTCTAACTGATAAAGCTTTCTCCCCTAGGGTACAAAGTAAATATAGTTGTAAAAGATAACATTTTGTGTTGCAGTAAAATATTCTGTAGCTACAAAATGCTCACGTTAAATCTCTAATCATGAAAGAAATAAAACGAAGTTCCAAAAGTCGACTTTGAGGTGTGCGACTTATCGTGGAGGCATTTTGTTGTTGTTATACTGGTTAACGGAAAGATTTAATAGCTTTCGGGATTCAAACGTAAAACGTAGGGAAATAACGTGCTTGCTGGACACAGAAACCCGACTTTCTAGTCTCTGACTTGTGCAAATGTGTAGTGATTGTACTAAAATGAAAAACGGTCTGATCAGCTGCTCGGTGGCGTAGTGGGTAGCACGCTTGCGTTCCGCCCATGAAGTCCCGGGTTTGATCCCCAGTCGGGTCGATGGATTCGCACTGCTGATGGGACCCAACCAGGTCGAAACAGTTGTCCAATGCTTCCGAGCTTTTCAGTTCACGCTTCATTTGCTATATACACGACGAATTCCCGTTTGAGATTGTACTAGTATTGGTAGAAGAAGCACGCACTGAACTCGGAATACGAACTACGTAATACGAAGCACGAAATACGAATCACGGATGTCACGCAAGCACTGGACCACACTGGCACTAGCACGCAATATCCCACGTAACTGTGAGGTGAAAAAGGGCAATAGGAGTAGCAGTTCATTTATTGGAAGAAATAAAGGGGATTAAATAATATGTACAAAGTAGGCTTATTGGTTATCCGGGCTTTTACCAATCGCGTTCCAGTATTTCTGGCATCGTTCTCTCTTTATCTGGGCCGCAGGTCTTTGATTGGCCGGTTAGATCTGCCTATGGCATGTAATCAGAAGCAGTGACACGTTCGCGCGTTGTTGATGTCACCCTTGAATTTTGATTGATCGCATTTGTCCCAAAACCTGTAAAGCGTCGATCCAGGGTATGCGTCTCGCAGGCTGGGATCACCACAAAGTGGTTCGAGGTGAACATAAACACAATTGATAGCGTTATCAAGGCGTCGTCTCCAAGAGGAAAACAGTAATGAGGAGGAAGAAAACCGACTAGATGGAAATAAGACGATGATTATATTCGGGCTCAGTTGAGTCAGACTGCAAACAACCGCAATCGAGAGCCATCCGAGTTGATTATTGTCGTAATTTTCGTTTGCCAATATTACGAAGAGGATGACTCAAATTGGATTTCAGCCGCACCTGGATGGACGTGTTCTGTCTGGTACGGTGCTTTCCTACCAAATCCATTCGTGTGAGTGACGCACAAAACACTAGACATTGAAGGGAAGGGGTCTGGTAAATTTCATGGTGCCGCCCGAGTTCAATCGGATGAAGTATATTCGAATCAAACTATAGCCATCAACGTTTCCTGTTTCTACGTATGGCAGTCGTTCATGGGCTACTGTTTCTATATTCTGTTCCTGTTTCTATCTTTTACGTCAAACTCAGGGTTATCTTGGTGCCTTATCTGTAAAGACTGCTGTTAAATAAAAAAGTAAACTAAAGACAAATGTTTCTAGTCTTGCAAATCCAATCGAAAACCGCGTGTTACTGCCTTGGCCATAAGTCTCGCAAGGAAAAACCGTTAGTATATGTTGAAAATTACATCTGGGATTAGGAACGGTATTTTTCCGTAGCAAATTCTGCTGCACAGCGTACTTTTATACAAAGTAGTATGTGAATGACTGGACAGCGTACTTCTTTCTGTGAAGTTTCAATCCAATTTGTTTGAAAATGAGTTTGTCAAGTTTTGATCGCCTGTTATAATCTTCTCTCTCTCTCGCTCGCCCGGTTTCTTTGGCCAGACTTGTCCGATCGGGCCACAAAAGAACATTCTCATTCCATCACCTCTCCAAGCAAATCGACTATGGATTTCGCACCCTATCATGACACTGGCTGATTGCAATTTGCTACGTTGTATGGACGGTACACTGGCCACACGTTGTACACGAACCAGTGAGGTTCTAGCCTGGTCCAGTCACGTGTTAGATGCCACATTTTCCGCAGATCAGGCCCGAGAAGAGGCTGCCTCACTCGGTTCCCAATTGGGCACGGCATTGCAACTGCTTTGTCGAAATGCGGAACAGGCGATCACGGAACGGTGTGCACAGTTACTGATCATCAGTGATCGAGCCGTGGGCCCTGACCGCATACCGATTCCGGCGTTGTTAGCTCTCGGTGCGGTACATCAGCATTTGCTTCGCAAGCAATTACGTATGCAGGTGGGGCTGATTGTGGAAACCGGAGAAGCCAAGTGAGTGTCACCACCTCCGTTTATTACTGCTTTGAGATCATTCGTCACGTAAAGGAATCATTTAAAAAGTCCGCGACACATTATTTTGGTATGGTTCGAGTCCAAATATAGTAAATCGTAATGTGAAACTCGGTAAATCATGCTGCTCAAAACTAAAAACGGAATTAGCTTGTTATGCATCTTTAAATTAAATCATTTTTTTGTTATTCTACGTTTCACAAATTTTATCTCATTCCTCAACCTGTTTTTCAGGGCAAAAGCTTCTAGTAAACGATTAGTTCATGCTGCGGTACACGTGCTCTTCTCTCACAGTTGACTGCTGATCTCTGTGTAAATTTGTATTTTCTACGCTTATGCCCAATCCCCTGTACCTAAGACTACTCTGTCTCTTTCAGCTGGGGCCCACAACCGGACTATTCCTCTCCTTACAGTAGACAACCCTCTGACAGTAACAAACGTTCTCTCCTCCATATAGGTTGGTGCAGCATAACATCCAATTGACATGTTTTTCCACTTACATTGGGTTACTCTAAGGCATTAAGTGTTCACTTTTTTATTATACACATTTGTATATGATGAACAACAGCCGGGATGAATCCCATTGCCACGAAGACCTGCTGTTCTGTGATGAAAACCGGCAATCTAAGCTCCGGCAGCTTGGAGTGGCGAATCACATTAGGCTACACTATGATAGGTATGGTATTGATCCGGACGATAGTAAAGCTGCTTACCACCAAAGTTTGGTGGTGGTGGCAGGGTTTGAACCTCAGAAAATAGGGACAAAGCAAGCCGGTTAAAACGAGTTGGTCACCGGACCAGACCGTACGCTTTTCTTTTTTGTATAATACCAGTTAAAATTCAGACAACTTGAACTCAGTACAGCTCCTGCGGCAAGATGAATTTTGTCTCCGCAACCACGACGGGCTCAGATGGGGTCGGAAGCCCTTTTATTATTCATCGTTCCAAGCCTGTGAAAAAATTCTCAGATATTTGATTTATTGAATTTAATATTTGAGTTAGTAATATATAAGACATAATTAATGATTCCGAAGCACATAGCTCAAAATATTCTGAATATCACAACTCTAAATTCGAGTGTCGTCATCGATTGAACCCAGCGATAATTTATAAATAAACTCGTTTTGTAGAACCAATTCATTAAATTGTAATTTTATGCATAGTTACTCGTCCAGCAAAACATTTTGGTGAAAACAATACGAGTCGTTTGATCTTTTAGTCACTGAATGTTTTGTGATAAGACGCCTCACTTCAGCTAAGAATCGCTATTACTAATGTTTTGAGGTACTACTCACATTTGTGAGTAGATGGCGCACATCAGGAAGAGACTGTTCAATTCGCACGGCTTCCGTGAATGAACGAAAGGATTTACTATTGCAACTAAGCAGAAGACAAACAGACTATCAGGTTAAAAATCACCGAATGAGAGAAGATCACAAAAATAGTAACCAATTGTTGCAATTTAGACGTTTCGTTCTATGTAATCTTGTTCTCCCTCGTCTGATACTGCTCTTCAAATGAAGAACTTTCCTCGCCCCGGAACTCGCCTGTAGCCTAATAACCGTATTATTCAATCAGCTAGACTAATAACGAAAACACATTTTGCTGAGGCTGTTTTCGTTATTTTTGTCGTGCGCATCGTGTGTTTATCATTGTTGCTGTTCTTTCCAACTTGTGTTACAGTTCAAAATGTTAAAGAAACAAAGATGATAGTTTTCTATCAAGGGAGCGGAGCTCAAATCCAAACCAAAATTGCGTATTTTTTCACTAATTCCGCTCTGTCCTAGACACTTCGTTGAAAGCAATCAAGAGAAAACAGTTGAACTACTTCACCGAAACTGAGAATGAAACAATTTCATACGATTCATTAGATCTCTGTCTGTCTATCTCTCTGTCTACTTGCCTGTCTGTCTGTCTGTCTGTCTGTCTATTTGACTGACCAATGCAAATTAGAATGCCTGATCATCTTTCAAACACATTGAATAATTCGGCTATATCATGTTTCAGGGTTAATTTCGAGACCCGCATCTGGAGCACGGATTTCAACGACGTATATTGCTGTCATAACAAAATAACGAACAAACCATTTAAATTTATTCAGCATGTAGTTCTGGTGAAAAATGTGTATTGCGCAACAATTACGGACCTTCATTAACCAGATCGCATTCAGTCCGGCGCTCTCAGATTTCTATCACTTAGAAGGTTGCAAATGAAAACCATTGTGTTTGTCGGTTACTTGCTTACTCGTAATAACAATATTTTCCCCAGGCTTTCCAGGTGTTAGCTTTCTCATCGTGTTCTCGCCAAATCTAGTTGCATTTGCCTGTACATTTCTGGAGGTCCGGTTCAATGTCTCGGATAAGTAAACTAGACTGATCATAGTTCTCTTTGATAATACCTTTTTCATCGATAAAGCATGCATCATCATTTGTCACATTACCTCAATCAAACGAACCGAACTGTTTGATCACGTACCAACAAGAGTCTGTCGAGAAACGACTAATCAACTGTTGCAGATTCAATGATACCCTTCCGAAAAACAACACGCCTCAATCCGGCAGTTGCCTTTGGGGGATTGAACCTGAAATGACAGCAAAGCTCTGGTGGGCCAGTGTTTCTCAATTGCAAAACATTTGTTTGTGTGTCTAACTGTTGCAGGTAACCTAGACGATCAATAACAAATCAACAAATTGAATGTTCCGCCTATTGACTTCTATTCCGCCGTCCGTTATATTGAATTTACCGCGGTAACTTTGATTTTGAAATCATCGGTGCTGAAATCAATGTTTCCCTTAACCAAGTCATACTCCTTGAGAGATGATGTTTCTAACTGATTATAATCCAACGATATGGAATTGAGTTTTATACATATACAAATGGTGGACAGACAGCGCCATCTTTCGGGATCTTTTGGGGCAGTATTGTGAAGGGGATCAAGAACTGTGAGTTCCCGGAGGTTCTTTCTTACAGAATGGGGTTTGGCAGATTCTCTTATTTCAGATAATTTGCAACCATTTTGAGATAACCAGACAGCACTTTACAGCCATTCATCGCATCATTTCTGGCTTCTGAAAGACTCCAGATAACGCAAACTCACACACAATGTGTAACGTATCCCTTTACTAAGGAGTGCATATGTGGACAACAGCAACAGCAACAGTTGATATTACTTTAATGAACTAGTTTAGGCGTCATTAAACTAGTCATGGAACCTATAGGTTCTCGTGTTTTTTCTATCACACACTTTCATGTGATGAACTGTTCAGTGGCGGAAGCCGGCAACCTAAGCCCCGGGACTTGGAGTGGCGAACCACAGATAGGGCTCCGGTAGGTTAGGTGTGTTACTGAACCTGACGACAGAAAAGCTGCCCACCAGCAAAGTTGGATGGCGGTGACGAGGCTTGAACTTCGGACCACAGAGTTCAAAGCACACCGGTGACAGCGACTAAATCACTGCGCCATCAGCACCCGATGTGTGCGTGCGTCTGTGATAATATTTGTCACGCGTGGTGTGTTTGAGTTCAAATTGTTAACCAACCGTCATGTTTGTTCTGGCACCTCCCCCCCCCGACTGCAGTTTTGCGATAGCTACTCCCGAGTTTCGTTGGAATTGTGCCACACGCCGTCTTGCAATCGTGCTGTCAACCATTTGTTAATCAATGTGTTTTTTGTTGTTGCTATTCTGCCCCTTTTTGTTTTGGTCCCAATCTCAGAGAAGTGCATCATTTTTGCACTCTGGTCGGATTCGGGGCGGATGCGATTTGTCCGTATCTGGTGTTCGAATCGATTGCATCGTTGGTGTCCGACGGACTGATAACCCCGTCTGCGGATACAATCACAGATGTAGAACGGAAGTATGTGGCCGCAGTTCAAACGGGATTTTACAAAGTGAGCCGCGTGGTCAGAACCACGAATGAGCCTTTTGGTTGTGTTGTGTTGTGTTCGCTACGATCTTCCGGGTTCGTGATCCCCCAATTGAGAGTCCATGTTTTTACGCAATGCCTGGGTAAAAGACCCGACTAGGTCGAAAAAGCTGTCCAACAGTACTTCTCAGCTTTTCAGCTCACACCTCATTTTTGCATGACGAATTTGTCATATGAAAAAACTATTTGTTTTAAATTTGAAGCAAATAATGCTTGGAATTTCAGGATATTCTATGTATGTACAAAATTTCTTGTGCTTACTGTTTCATGACCAAGTGGTGACGCCATTGAATAATCGAATGGGGTCAAGATCAACACTCCAATAACCATCTAAAAGTTTTGTTTGGTTCCTGTAAATGAATCACAAATGTTTTTGATTAAACGGAGAGATTCGCAAGGTCTCCATGTTGGAACCGCATTTCACGGGTTGTGATGAAAGACAAATTCATCCGACTTCACAAAGACCAGCGATGATGTAATCAAACGGTTGCATTTCTTGGGGAGGTCGGATGGATCAAATCAAAAACTGACGGGGGGTGGGGTGTGGGCGGGCCTGGAG